GCCGAACCGCAAGTACAAGGTGCCAAAATGGTTGCTCCAATCTCGTTTTGAGACTATGATCTTGAACGTGGCCAGGGTCCGCGCAGCTGCAGAGGAGCTTCTGGGGTACGACCCGCACATCCTGAACTGGGACCAGTCGCCCTTTCACCACAACGAGTCGTCGTCGGCCTCGAAGCCGACCTTGGCTGTGAAGGGTGGCATTGTCCCGCTTGTCGAGGCGCATGACGACAGCAGGGCTCGGTGGACAGCGAACCTGACGGTGTCGAGCGACGCGGAGGACATCCGCAGTTGCGGACCACCGCCGGCGGAGCTAATGTTCAAGGGGGGATCTGTCATCGCTGAGGGCTTGGCCGCACATGCCCGCAGTCGCGGCTATCCGTCTTGGGTGAGCACGGCGACGTCCGAGAAGGGGTCCTACCGCGCAGACGACGTTGTATCATTCTTGCAGCGGCACTTGCGGGCCTGGCCCGACGACCCGCAGTTGCGGGGAAAGTGGCGCATCCTCATGGCCGACGACCATTCCCCGCACAAAGCAGACGCTGTGCGGAGACTCGCCTGGCAGCGCGGCTACGTGCTGATCATTCACGGCGGGGGGACGACCGCAGTTGCGCAGCCCGTGGACACGGACTTGAACCAGCACGTGAAGCGCCGGTACATTGCCCTCGAGACCAAAGCGCTGGTGCAGCAAATGGCGTTGGGGAAGCACGTGCCGCAGTTGCGGCGTTCCGATTGCGCCGACTTGATGCTGTCAGTGTTGGAGGATGTGCAGTTGCACTTGGACGCCGCGAAAGGTTTCCTGAAAGTGGGAATTCGAGCGCCCTTCGACAAGTCAGGAGATCTCGAGATTTGCCGAGAGGCGGCGGAACTCTGGGAAGCAGGGGGGCTGCGAGCAAAAGTGGACACCGCAGTCGCGGAGGTGAGGGAAGAATGCGAGCAGAAACGTTTGAAATGGTCCTACAATGACGTGCTGCGTCTCATACACGAATACGAGAAACACGACGCCACAGATTCCGTGTTGGAGAAGCTCGGCGACGAAGCGCTAGGCCAGGAGCCAGGCCACGAGGAGGGCGATGAGGAGGGCGGGGAGGAGGAGGAGGAGGAGGAGGTGCACGAGGAGCACGAGGAGGACGAAGAGCAAGAGGGGGCCTCGTGGGCCGAGGCTCTTGCGGAACAGTGCGATGCCGCAGTTGCGGCACCTGGGCCTCAAGGATCCTCGGTATCCATGGACTGCGTGGTCGACGCAGAGGCGGCCGAGCAGGTGGCAGTGGCGACGTCCTTGGCAGAAACGCTCCGCGAGGCGGAAGATATGCTGCGCCAAGTGGGCATGGAGAAACTAGCGCAGGATTGCCGACAGCAACGACACAAACAAAAGAAGCGGTTGAGAGAGCTGGCGCGGGAGGACAACGAGGTCCTACGAGCGTTGACTGCCCAGCGAGACCACGAAGCCGCAGTGGTGGCGAAAAAGCGGCGCCTGGCTCTGGAAGCGAACGACAGGACGAAGGCGTTGCACGATCTCAAGAAGCAGATTCGAGAGGCCGAGGCCGCCTTGAGGGCAAAGAAGGAGGCCGCAGTTGCGGTGGAAACGGCTTTGGCTAACAAACACGCCCTAGCGCAGTGGAATCCCGAGGAGTTCAAGATCAAGAAAAACAGGATGGCAGCTCTGGATCGCCTGGCTCGCGGAAAAGGCGTCCTCTCAGACGAGCAGAGGGGGGAGTGGGCATGGTTCAAGACGCATTGGGACGAGGAGATGTGCAAGCAGCACAAGGAGCAATGGCCGCTCACGTTTGCTGGGTGGCTGCAAAAAGTCGCGAACGACGCGGCGTCTGGGAACCGTTCGGCGCTGTCGCAGTTCGTGCATTCGGAAACAGTGAGAACCCTGGGAGGGCAAATGGCGCTGGTAATCCCAGCCCTAGCGTGATGCAGGCCGCAGTTGCGGACCCACAGGAAGTCCAGAGGGAAGTTGTTTTTCCAAGCGGCTCCCGCGCGGGCAGGAGATGAGGCAAAACCGCAGTTGCGGTCTTCCTGCTGCTGTGAAAATAATCCTTTCACAGTCCCTTGCAATCGTCGCCCTCCTTCTGCTTCTCCGCCAGTCCATTTGTTGTTCTTTCGGTTCCTTTGAGTCCTCGCCCTCCTTCTGCCACTCCTCGAATCCTCTTTGTCTCCTCCCTCCATCCGACCCCATGCCCATTCACGATCCATTTCCGTAGCCACCGTGGCTCGAGGTGGCGCACGCGAAGACGCAAGCATGTGGCCGCCCGCGCGCCCGAGCGCATCCTCAGGGAGTATGGACCGTGGACTTCGATTCGCCAGAACGGTGTTCATCCACAACGCTGAGGAGGAGGAGGGAGGCAAAGACGAGGAAGCCGCAGTTGCGGATGATGACGACGACCAGCGGACGCAAGATGGCGACAGCACCGTCGCGTCCTCGGCTGCCTCCGCTGACGAGGCTGAGTCCCGGGGAGGTGCGGGAGCCGCAGTTGCGGCAGCACATGACTCCTACATGCCGAGAGTGTTGTCGTCGCGGAGACCCTGGAAACGGGTGCCCATCATCGAGACAAGCAATCTGTCGGAAAAACAAAGAGCTCTTGTCGACGCATGGGAGGAGAAAACGGAGTTCGAAGCGGGACGGGTCGGCTTCTACGTGGCCAACTTCGGAGGGACTGCAGCTAGACCCACGCAACGCGCGGACGAGTGGGCGCAGCTCCGCGCGAACCCTGCCCAGATCATCGCCCTCTGCGAGTGCGACGACGAGACCTGCGCGGTACTCAGTGGGGAGCACGACGCGAGGGACAGTGCAGCCGCAGTTGCGGACGATAGGTTTCGGAGTCGGACTCAATGCAACTACCTGTGCGTTAAGGGCGGCGAGCCATCAGGGACCCTCCTTGTTGGCATGAGGGACCGCAGTGGCGGCCACATTGAACACGTAGACTTTGCGAGACTCTTCCACAAGCAGGAGAAGTCCAAAACGAAGAAGAAGAAGAAACAGTCCGCAGTTGCGGAGGCTCCTGCGCCAAAGCTGCACAACAAGTACTCCAGGGCGATGGTGGTGCGCGTCCACCTGGACCAGGCCGTGACCCAGTTGGGGGGCTCCTTCAACGTCATGGCGGTGCACGTCCACCACAGCTTGGCCAACCAAGACTGGGGCGTCACGAAGCTCCATGAGGTCTACAACTGGTTCGTCGCCTACGTCAGGGAATGGGACGTGAAGGTCTGCATGGGGGACTTCAACATGTGCATGTTCCAGCTTGTGTCCTGGTGCCGCAATTGCGGCCTGACTGTGGACGTCGCCGCGTGGACCCCCTGGAAGACAGCAGGCGGCCAGCCCAGGGCAGACAGCATGGCGATTTTGTTCATAAACTGTCCTGGGCAGTACAAGCTTCACCATGGCCTGAGTGTTCTGCACGACCGTGAGGGCGGATTCTTGACGACCCAGCATGATCCGTCTTTCCCTGTCTTCGACTACACGAATGGCCCTGGGAAGATGCTTCAGACTTACGTGCCCAAGGCTGAGCCCGTTGAAAACAAGATGCGCGCCTTCCTGACGCCATCTGGCGAATCCTTGACCGCAGATGCGGAGTTCGAGCAAAGGATGGCGCGCAGGGAACGCGACGATTGGGTGCGCTATCCCTTCAGAGTGAAGCAGGGCAACCTCGACGACAAGATATGGCATGGCGCCTTCGGCAGGGCGAGGCACGGAGCGCACTTCCCTCTGGTGGCTTTCACGCACAATACGTGCCGCAGGTCACCTGAAAGACTCGCCGCGAGGTTGGAACGCAGGAAGGGCGGCAGGAAGGGCGGCAAGAAGGGCGGCAAGAAGGGCAGCTACGCGGACACCGCAGTTGCGGGGAAGGGCGTCCGACCCCAGATGGGAACCGCAGTTGCGGGGAGAGACGCTGGGGCTGAGCGAGCTGGGAACACGCCACCGCCGCAAGCTGCCAACGGCGACGATGCGACCCCTTCTTGTGCCGCAGTGGCGGCTGGGTCCTGGGACGCCAGCGGCAGCGGCGCATGGGAGGCGCGCAGTCCCGCCACGAGATGGCAGGGCTGGTCCTGGTGGGACTGGAGCTCGAGCGAATGGGGCGCTGATGGCGCGCAGTGGTGGCCCTCTGATCATGCCGCAGTTGCGGACAATGCCCCTGAGGGCTCGCCTCCTCAGCGTGAAGTCGAGTGGGGCTCGAGCGGGCGACCTGCCGAGCGCCCTCCGTGGAGCTTCGAGGCGCAGCGTTGGTGATGGCCGCAGTTGCGGGCAAGTGGAGCATGATGTTGATTGCCGCAGTTGCGGACAGTGTACGCTGGAAAAATCATCATCATCATCAATCATAATCATCATCATATCATCATATCATACGTTCAAAGCAGTGCCGGGGCACTGCTTTGAACGCGTTCAAAGCAGTGCCGGGGCACTGCTTTCGATCGTCGCCTCGTCGCCGTTATAAGGGCTTTCGGATTACAGTTTTTACGTCGCAGCGCGACAAAGGCAGTCCGCGCGCGCGCTCTTGTGGGTCGGGCTAAGAGACGGCACTAATTGTCTGGCAGGGGGGAATGGGGAGGAGGACGGCCGCGAAGGGCGGGAAGGAGAGGAACATCTTGGGCGACCGGTGCGGCCAGCATGTGCTGAGGCACCCTGGCAGTGGACGCGGGGCGGCATCACGGCCACACCCAGGAGCTCGGGCAGGGGCTGCGGGCGTGAAAACGTGGAGCAAGTCAAAGCAGTGCAAGAGCAGCTAGCGTGCCCACGGACGCGGGTGGCATCTGGATGTCCGCTGGAACGTCTCAGGTGTTAGGGTGCTGCAGGTGCGGCACCGGGGGGCTGCGTGCAGCCGGCAATTGGACTAGGCCAGCAATCGCAGCGCAGCAAAATGCTGCGGTGAAGTCAAGTTGTGCTGGTGAGGCTGGGCTGCGGGGCTGCAGGCGGCAAAGCTACTGGGGGCTAACCGCACCGGGTCGGCGCACGCATCACAGCCAGGTGCGGCGGAGAAGCCCCAGGGAGCGGGGAACGGCGGCCCCCTGGCCGGTTCAAGCAACCAGCAGGGAGGACACCTTCTGGGCTCAAGCCAACTTGGCTCAAGGCCATAGTGTGATCAAGCCGCCGTGATGCATCTTCTTCTCGGATGCAAGACATCATTCGACGGTCTCGAGAAGGTGCTGTTTCACTCGAAGTGGCAATCAAGGAGTGCGGCCGGACAAAACGATGGAACGCAGCACTGCAGTTGCTCCGCGAAGGAGTGCAGTTGGGTGTGCAGCCCTCCCCAGGCCACTGCACTGCTGTTGCGAGCATATGCAGAAAAGGTGGGCAATGGCAACACGCACTGTCGCTGCTCGGCGAGATGTGGGAGGCGAAGCTGGCGCCCAACGTCAAACATACTGCAGCACCAGACATGATGCGTGCCAGAAGTGACCTGCAAATGCATGCGTGGCAGAAGTGTTGCGCCTCCGCGGCCTCGCTCGAGGGGCGCCGCCGCCCTGGCCCAAGAGGGGGCCCCACGACGGTCCAGGGGGCCCTGGTGTGTAGAGGACTGGTACCATAGTGCACATAAGACGTTCGGCTGTCGCCGAAAGTCAGGGGAGCTCTTCGCCCCCGGGTCACGCTTCAGGGGCCATGGGCTGCTGCGTCTTCATCGTGGGAGAAAAAAGCGACGGTCCAGAGGACCTTGAACATGTCCCGAGAAGGCTCCAAGGAACCCCCGAAGAGGGCATCCAGAAGCTGCAAGTGTTGATATAGTTATGTTGATTTCCCTGGGCGTATTCTTACATTCGCTTTGTCTGGCCTCTGAACGTTCTAGACGGCCAAAGAAGCTTCAGACATCTCCCCAAGAGGGCCCCAAGACGGCCCCGAGATGGCCCCCAGAATCGTCGAGGAGGTCCCCAGGACGGCCCCAAGAGGAGAACTCCGAGCGTACATTCCGAAGACCCCCCCCCCGATCCAGTGCCAGACACCTCCAAGAGGACCCGTGACAGGGCCTCCAGGAAAAACGAATATTGATTCCCCAAGGTCTTCGAATAATGTCCGCCTGCTCGTTTCTTCGGGTCTCGGGGCGACCAGGATGGCCGGAGAAACCCCCGAGATCGACCAAGACGGCCCGAGGGGACCCCCGATGGGGCCCGAAGCAGGCGCAACAGGGCCCCAAGATGGCCCCGAGACGGGCCCAGGACGGTCCCAAGACGGGCCCAAGGCGGCCCAGGAACGCTCCAAGATGGCTTCAAGGCACCACCCGAGCCTTTGTGGGCCCCATCCGAAGCCGCCCCCTGGTGGGCCCAGGGGCCACCCCGATGGCTCCACGAGCCACGGGAGGGCCCCATGGGAGCAGGCGAACCCCCAAAGGAGGCCCCAAAGATGCCTCTAAGAAGAGAAGCCGCCTGAGAGACGTCTTGAGAAGCCGTTTCCCTTCAGAAGGCCCCTCGAGACCCCCGACGGTGCTTCGCCCCTCCCGCCTTTTCCCCCCTCGCTCCTCCTTCTCTCCCCGCCTGATCGCTCCTCGCTTCTCTCCCCTTCCTTCTCGATCTCTTCGATCCTAACTCCTCCATCCTTTCCTTGCAGCAGATTGCGTTAGCAAGCTGAAGTAGCGCAGCACCCTGCAGCATCAAGGAACAGTAGTGAACGGCAGCAGCACGCAGCACGAAGCAGGCAGCAGCAGCGGCAGCACACAGCAACAGTAAGCAGCAGCAGACAGCTGGCAGCAGCACGCACCAAACAGAACTGGCAATCAGCAGCACCATGCAGCCACAAGCAGCAACACCATGCAGCCACAAGCAGCAACAACAACAGGCAGCAGCGGCAAGCATTACCAACAGCACGCAACAGCGGCAGCAAGGGTGGAGCCCCATGCTACAATTTCAGCCTTTTCGTGCAGATTTCGTGGACGTAGTCCAGGGGTCAGCCCTAGTGAGCTACAACTCCGGGATCAGCGCGTGCGAGAAAGGCGAGCAGTGGCAGGGGGCTCTGGCGCTTCTCAGGGAGATGCGGGAGGCGAAGCTGGAGCCCAATGTCGTCTGCACTACATCGCAGGGACACGTGCGTGCGGGAAGTGCGGGCGCTGGCGGGGCGTAACCGGCCCCCCTGGTCGCCCCACGACGGCCCGAGACGCACTAGATGGCCAGAGAGCGCCCAAGACGGCCCAAGAGGGCCTTCGACTAGGTCCCACAGCGCTCCAAGATGCCCAAGCTAGGCACCAGACGGCCCAAAAGTCCTCCCGAGACGCTCCAAGTCGGCTCCAGGACGAGCCCCCCAAAGGCCAGATCAATGACAAATCGTTAAAATTCGTAGGAAAAACGAGCCTTTTTCCAGGTCCACTGCTTTTCGTCCATTGCGATGTCCACACGGCCCTACTGGCCCTCCAGATCATCCCAACACGCCTCTGGAAGCCCCCTGGACGGCCCCAAGACGGCCCCACGATGGCTCTTGAGGCGCCGATGGCAGCCCAAGAGGCTGCCATGACAGCGCCGCGACGGTCCCAAAACGAGTCAAGACGGCTCCGAGACAGCTCCAAGACGGCTCCAGAGGCGCTAAAGACGGCCCCCCCACTGCCCCGAGACGGCCCCAGAGGCGCCCAAGAGGGCCCCAGACGGCCCCAAGACAGCCCAAGAGGCACCCCAGACAGCCCCGGAGAGCCCCAGGAGGCCCTAATGCGGCACCCAGGCCGCTCCGGGACGGCTCAGAAACGCCCACGAGGGCGCCTGGACAGACCAAGAGGGACCCAACCGAGCCCCAGGTCGGCCCCAGAGGCCTCCAAAGCAGGCCAAGAGGCTCCCAAGGCGGCCCAGGAGGACCCCCAGGAGGGACCCAAGAGGCAAAAATTGCCCCCTTCCCTTCGGAAAACGTAATTTTTTGATATGCTCGCACTTTTCGTTTTCACCGATGGCTATACAGGCCTTCCCGATCGCCCCAAGACGCCCCCAGAGCACCCCAGGAGGGCCCCCAGACGGCCCGAGGCGTGCCCGCGAACGCTCCAGAGACGCCCTAGACGGCCCAAGAGGCAACCAAGACAGCCCAAAGAGCGGTCAATAACAGCCCAAGACGGCCCCACACGGCCCCAAGACGGCCCAAGAGGCTTTCAAGACGGCCCAAGAGGGACCCAAGGGATTCCCGGGAGGCCGGAAAGATGCTCCCAAACGGCCCCCAAGAGGCCCTAAGTGGCTTCCACTTTGCCTCTAAAAGAGGGGGGTCGGACGAGAGGCGAGTGCCCACAAGAGCTGTTTTCAACGCTCTGGGGCCCTTCCATGCTTGTCTTTTGGGGAGCGGTCCAGAGCGCCCCGAAGCGCTCCGGGAGCCCTTCGGGCGCTCCAGGACCCTTCGAGGCTCCCCAGATGGCGCCATGAGGGCCCCACACTGAGGGCCCCAGACGGTCCTTGCACGCTCCGGGAAGCCCCACAGGCCCCTCAAATGGGCACGGCACGACCCAAGCGAGCGCCAAGGCGCTTCGAGAGGCCTCCAGAAGGCCTCATAAGAGGGTCCCGAGAGGTCAAAATCGTTTGTTGTCCTAGGCTTTTCCAAAGATTTCCCGCTTGCCGCCAATTCAGCTTTCGGACACTCGAAGCAGCCCTGGAAGACTTCGAGGCCACCCCAAAAGGACCCAAAACGCCCCCAGGAGGCTCCCAGGAGGGCCCCAAGACAGGCCAAGACCGCCCCAGCACGGCCCAAGGCGCGCTGGAGACGGCCCAAGACGGTTCCAAGACGGCTCCACGAGGGTGCCAACACAGCCCCAGACGGGCCCAGCACGGCCCAAGGCACGCTCAAGACGGCCCAAGACGACTCCAAGACGGTCCCAGGAGGGTGCCAACACGGCCACAGATAGGCCCAGGACGAGCCAAGGAGGCGCCCAGTCGGGGCCTCAAGACGGGCCAAGATGACAAGAGAGCCTCAGCTGGCAAAAATCGTTTATTTTCCATTGTTTATTGTCACAGCCTTTGCGTTTCCCGCCATTTCGGCGGTCGGATGCCCCAAGAGGCCCCAGAAAGTCCCAGGAGGGTCCGAGGAAACGCCCAGGAAGGCCCCAAGACGGGCCAAGACGGCCCCAGCACAACCCAAGGCGCGCTGCGACGGCTCAAGACGGCTCCAAGACAGCCCCAAGAGGGTGCCAGCGGGGCCCCTGCTGGGCCCAGGACGGCCCAGGAGGCGCACAGGAGGGGCCCAAGACGACTCGAAGGCGGCCCCCTCACGGCCCCAGACGGCTCCAAGACAGCCCCAAGATAGTGCCAACAAGGAACCCGACGGGCCCAGGACGGCCGACGGACGCGCCCATGAGGGGCCCACGACGAACCAAGACGGCCCCATCACGGCAAACGGCGCCCTCAAGACGGGCCTAGACGGCTCCAAGACGGCCATTTGAGGGAGCCAACACGACCCCACACCCTTCGGGCGAACATTTGGGGGTGCTGGGAGCTTGCGACAAGTCTCCCACATTCATTGTCCTGCCCCATTCTGTTCGCCTGGAGGCCTCCTCCAGCCCTGTGGGCGAACAAGAGGACACCCAGCGGGCCGCCAACCCTGGGGCCCGCGGGCCCCGCGCCGCTTGGGCAGAAGACGAACGCCGGGTCTGACAGGCCAGCTACCGCCCCCCTTTGCCCGATATGCTGTGCCATTCTGTTCCCCCAGGGGCCTTGGCAAACTCTTCGGGCCAACCAGACCGGACCCCTGGGACAGCAGCCAATTGATATGACCCAGGCACCTCTCCGCACTCTTCGGACCACAGACCCTCTGGGCGAGCAAAATGGGACTTGGCGAACAAACCCTCCCGTTGGCGGCGATGCGACTGGATCGCACCATCAAGGCGTGCCCGGAGGTGATGGCCGACCCAACAGCGGTTTCTTTTAAGATTTTATTTAATTTCAAATTTTCTTTAAGTTTTCTTGGGCCCTCCCTGTATATCCTTGCGCTCCCCGGCGCTTTCGGTGGTTTTCCCCGATGGCCTCCCGAGCGTTTCCCCAGGCGCTCCTGAGACGCCTCAGATGGGCTTCGACTTCGACGCACATCCCCGAGAGATTTCGAAACTGCCCTCAATAGGAGGGGGTGAACGAGCAGTGCGCCGGGGCCAAGCTGCTGGAGCGCTGCAAGAGCTCGGACACGAAGGCGCGGTCTCGCTGCCGCCGCCCGAGCCGCCGCCGTGTTTGTAGATTTTCGGTGCAATCTGCGCCGTTCCTCCGAGAACCATTCCAGAAAGATGTCGTGGACGGAGTCCACGGGTCAGCCCTAGTCTCTACTACATTGCAGGGCCCAGTGCGTACCAGAAGGGCGCAGGATCAAGTGACCAATAATCGCCCCGGGCTGGCCCCGGGCCGCCCCGGGCCGCCCAGGCAGGCCCCAGGACATGTCCAGAGGGCCCCAGAAGCCCCCAAGACGGCCCCGGAGAGCCCCGGCACGTTTAAAGATGGGCCCAAGACGCCCGAGATTCGCCCCAGGCGGCCCAAGAGGCGTCCAAGACGCCCGAAGAGGCCTCTCCCAAGAGGGCCCCGAGCGACAGAAATCGTGGATTTCTATTGTGTTTTTCGATGTTTTCGGCCTCCTCGCCTCGTCGGCTTCCCGACGCTCCAAGACGGCCCAAGAAGCCCCCCCGACCGCTCCAAGACGGCCGAAGAGGACCCCAAGAGAGCCCCAAGACGGGCCAGGAGGGCCCCCAGACGGTCCCAAGACGCCCCAGGACGGCCCCAGGACGGCCCAGGAGGCGCCCAAGACGGCCCAAGAGGCACCCAAGACGGCCCCAGGAGCGGCCCAAGACGGCCCACGACAGCCCAAGAGGCGCCGAGGCGGGTCTCAGACGGCCCCAAGACGGCCCAAGAGGCACCCAAGACGGCCCGAGAGGGCCCTAAGAGCCCCCCCGGGAGGCCCAAACGAAGGCCGAAGAGGCTCCGAAACGGCCCCCACGAAGCCTTCAGTGCCTTCAGAATTCCCTCCAGGAGCGGGGGAGCGGACGAGAGGCGACAGGCATATCGCAGGCAAAAACGCCCCAAGAGATCCCCAAACGGCCCCCACGAAGCCCTAAGTGGCCTCAGAATTGCTTCCAGGAGGGGGGGAGCGGACGAGAGGCGACCGGCATATCGAAGGCACAAAAGAACAATGTTGGACGCTCCGAGGGCCTTCGATGTTTCTCCGTTGGGAAGAGTCGTCGTAGGATCGACGATTGCCGACCGAGGGCAGCGAATCCAGTGGAGGCCCAAGAGGCCCCCAGGAGCCCAAAAGAGATCCCCAAGAGGTGCCACGGGGCTTAAAAACTGCTTCGAAGCGAGGGGGGCGGACGAGGGGACCGCCTCAGGAGGTTTTGGACGGTTTTGGGCCTCAAAATCGTCCGCTTCACGACGGTTTTGGAAGGATTTTGGCCTTCTCGCCTTTTCCGCTTTCCGACGCTCGAAGACGGCCCAAGAGGCCTCCAAGAGCGCCCCAGAACGGCCCAAGAGGTTTCCAAGAGCGCCCCAAGACAGCCCAAGAGGGCCCCAAGACGACCCAAGAGACGCTCAAGACGGCCCACGAGGGCCCGAAGACAGGCCCAAGAGGGGGCCAAGAGGGGGACCACGGACCGAAAATCCGAGCCTTCCGCCCCAAGAGGGCGCCAGGAGGCCCAAACAGGCCCCCAAGAGGCCCCAAGGGGCCGCCAAGAATCCCCCGAAGAGGCCCCAGGAGGCTCCCAAGGAGCCCAAACGAGGCCCCTACAGAGGCCCCAACAGCTTCCAAAATGGCCCCGAAGAGGCCTCGAGCCCGCCTCCGAGCTTCCTCGCCGCGAGGGTGCCAACACGGCCCCAGACCGGCCCAGGACGGCCCAAGGCGCGCTCAAGACGGCCCAAGACGATTCCAAGACGGTCCCAGGAGGGTGCGCCCAGGACGGCCCAAGGACGCGCCCGTTCGGGGCCTCAAGACGGGCCAAGATGGCAAGAGAGTCCCAGCTGGCAAAAATCGTTAATTTTCCATTGTTTACTGTTACACCCTTTGCGTTTCCCGCCGTTTCGGCGGTCCGATGCACCAAGAGGCCCCAGAAAGTCCCAGGAGGGTCCGAGGAACCGCCCAGGAAGGCCCCAAGACGGGCCAAGACGGACCCAGCACAACCCAAGGCGCGCTGCGACGGCTCAAGACGGCTCCAAGACAGCCCCAAGAGGGTGCCAACACGGCCCCTGCTGGGCCCAGGACGGCCCAAGGAGGCGCACAGGAGGGGCCCAAGACGACTCCAAGGCGGCACTCAGACGGCTCCAAGACAGCCCCACGGGGACCCCGATGGGCCCAGGACGGCCTACGGACGCGCCCATGAGGGGCCCACGACGAACCAAGACGGCCCCATCAGGGCAAACGGCGCCCTCAAGACGGGCCTAGACGGCTCCAAGACGGCCCTTTGAGGGAGCCAACGCGGCCCCACACCCTTCGGGCGCACACTTGGGGGGGCTGGGAGCTTGCGACAAGTCTCCCACATTCATTGTCCTGCCCCATTCTGTTCGCCTGGAGGCCTCCTCCAACCCTGTGGGCGAACAAGAGGAATCCCAGCGGGACGCCAACCCTGGGGCCCGTGGGCCCCGCGCCGCTTGGGCAGAAGACGAACGCCGGGTCTGACAGGCCAGCTACCGCCCCCCTTTGCCCGATATGCTGTGCCATTCTGTTCCCCCAGGGGCCTTGGCAAACTCTTCGGGCCAAGCAGACCGGACCCCTGGGACAGCAGCCAATTGATATGACCCTGGGACCTCTCCGCATTCTTCGGACGAGCATCTGGGGGGCCCAGGAGATTCGGACATGTCTTCCCCATTCCTTGCCCTGCCCCGTTCTGTTCGCCCGAAGGCCTCCACTGACCCTCTGGGCGAACAGAATGGGACATGGCGAACAAACCCTCCCGTTGGCGGTGATGCGACTGGATCGCACCATCAAGGCGCGCCCAGAGGTGATGGCCGACCCAACAGCGGTTTCTCTTAAGAGTTCACTGGATTTCAAATTTTCTTGAAGCTCTCTTGGGCCCTCCCTGTAGATCCTTGCGAGCCTCCCCGGCGCTTTCGGTGGCTTTCCCCGATGGCCTCCCGAGCCCTTCCCCGAGCGCTCCTGAGACGCCTCAGATGGGCTTCGACTTCGACGCACATCCCCGAGAGACTTCGAAACTGTCCTCAATAGGAGGGGGGTGAACGAGCAGTGCGCTGGGCCAAGCTGCTGCAGCGCTGCAAGAGCTCGGACACGAAGGCGCGGTCTCGCTGCCGCCGCCCGAGCCGCCGCCGTGTTTGTAGATTTTCGGTACAATCTGCGCCGTTCCTCCGAGAACCATTCCAGAAAGATGTCGTGGACGGAGTCCACGGGTCAGCCCTAGTCAGCTACAGCGCTGGGATCAGCGCGTGCGGGAAGGGCGAACAGTGGCAGCGGGCGCTGGCATTGTCCAGCGAAATTTGGGAGAGGAAGCTGGAGCCCAACGTCATCAGTTTCAGCGCTGGTATCAGCGCGTGCGAGAAGGCCGAGCAGTGGCAGCCAGCTCTTGCGCTGCTCAGCGAGATGTGGGAGGCGAAGTTGGCGCCCGACGTCATCTATATTACAATACGGGGCATTATGCGTGCCAGAAGGGCCCATAAAGTTTTCGCGGGCCGCGGTACTTCCGCGACTCCGCCACAGAGGCGGTGCCGTCTTGGCCTGGGAGAGCTCTCAGGCGTACCAAGGGAGGCGCTAGACCGCCCCAGAGAGCTCCAATACGGCCCCAGAGAGCTACAGGAAAGCTCAAGAACGCCCCAAGGAGGGTCAAGATGACCTCGCGACGACTCCAGGAGCCCCCAGCCCGCTCCAAGACTGCTCGAAGGGGACCCTTCAGAGGGCCGTCAGAGCAAGAACCACGGATCGCCTTTTGATGTTCGAACGGTTTCCGCATGCTCGCTTCTTCGGGCTCGGGGCGCCCAGGACGGCCCGAGAAGCCCCCGAGATAGACCCAAGGCGGCTCGAAGGGGGGCCCCCGATGGGGGGCCCAAAGACGGCGCAGCAGGGTGCCGAGACGACCCAGCAGGGCCCCAAGATGGCCCAGTGGCAAGGCGGTCCAATAGCGCTTCCAAGATGGCCTCGAGGCACCCCCGAGCGGCCCCGGACCAAAGGCCGCCCAGAGGGCTCCAGTAGGCCTTCGAGGGTCCCACGCGAACCCAATTATCCCGGCAAAGCAACCTAACATCGATATGTAGTAGCATAGCTGGAGGCATGCAGCAGCAGTAACAGTCGCAGTAGTATTAGCAATAAGAGCAGGAAAGATGAAACAGTGGTAACAGTGAAGTAGTAGTTGTAGTTCGGAGTCCTGTAAAAAGGAGACACTGCTATCAACGCTGGAAATGTGTCAAAACGAGACACTGCTATCAATGGTGGGAGTCGTGTAAAAAGGAGACACTGCTATCAACGCTCGCAGTGTGTCAAAACGAAACTTCGCTGTGAATGGTGGGAGTCGTGTAAAAAGGAGACACTGCTATCAACGCTGGAAGTGTGTCAAAACGAGACATTGCTATCAACAGTGCGAGTCGTGTAAAAACGAGACACTGCTATCAACGCTGGCAATGAATGATGATGATGAGTGCGATGATGAGTGCGACGATGAGATGATGACTGTCCTTTTTTCAGAGGACCGCGCTGAGGAGCGGCGTGCGAAGCGGAGAAGCTGCAAAGCGTGCAGGCTGAAAAGCATTGCAGACACGCGCAGGCTGAAAAGCATTCCGCGACACGTGCAGGCTCACCGCGCACAGCTGCACACGAGCGCAGGCTGAGAAGCACCACGCGCATGCAGGCTGAGAAGCACCACGCGAATGCAGACGGACAGACTGAACAGCACCGCCACAACGCAACCTGCATCTCATGGCTCCTCAAGCTCGCGCAGGCCATCCCAGTTGCTGTCGGGCCTTCGCGCAAGCGATCTTCGTCGCGGCAATCTTGTCCGTGAAGAGCTCGGCGAAGGCCTTGGCGATCTGTTCCGGGGGGCCGGATTCGATGATGCTCCGGTCAGGCAAGCCGTGGCTCAAGAGTTGGTTGAAGCTTCTGGGGCGCGACAGGCTGACGTAGTAGGCAAGCCAAATGGACTCCTTCTTGAGTCCTGGCGGAAACGTCCAGTGCACGATGAAGCCTGGGTCCGTCGTCTTGCCCTGGACGCCATGCAGAGTCCCCTGCTTTTTGGGCAGCACGGTCAACTGCGTCCTGGACACCGCGATGGCCGGGCCACCTGTCTTCGCTTTGAACTTCCAGGGGCGCGCCTGCGGGGTGATCGCGAGCACTCCGCGCAGGTCGGGGCCGGCAGGCTGAGAAGCACTGCCAGCTGTCACCGGCGCGGCCTTCAAGAAAAGTTCATCGCTGTCATCGATCTTGACATAGACGGCCTTTGGCATGTAGTAGAGTACGACCACACCGTCCGAGACAATGGACGGGCGGCCCTCCACCGGAGGCTCCAGAGCGTGCAGCTCTATGCCTACCACTTTGCCTGGCGCGCCACGGACATACTTCGGCGGCAAGACGGATTCTGTCAGGATGACCTCCATGCCAACGAAGAGCGGCAGCAGCCCCGGCATTTTTGCGGTAGCGCCGATGTTGGGCTCCGCGCGCATCTCGTCGAAATCAGGCTTCGCGAGGCGCGCAGCTGGTCTGTCGATTGCTGGGACGTAAAAGAGCAGCTGGCCAGCATCGTGCGCATCAAGCTTGGCCTGTGCATGCATGGCGTAAGAGACGATGCGCCACTCATAGGCCGACTCGTACCAGCCTCGTGCTGCACGCAACCGAGGGCCCCACTGAGGTGGCTGAGCGGCTTCGCTGCTGCTGGCAGCAGGCTGAGCAGCACCGCTAGAGCTAACGACCTCTGTTTTGACGATCGCCTGCCAGCTCTCGTCAGAGATCTTTTTTCCGCCTGGAGTTCTCATGGCGTGGAGAACCTCGAGTTGCAACGGGTCTGTAAAGCGCTGCATCTGCACGAAATCGATGACGTACTCGATGTCGGCGAGCAACTTCCTACCCTGTTGGTGTTCGTAGGATTGGCCCGCGTGAGGCGCCAGCAGGGAAGCGGTGGCGGGGACTGGCGGCAACTGGTAGAAGTCCCCGCACAAGATCTTCACAGGCATGCGCCCCCACGTCTCCTGCGGGCGCATGTACTTCGTGGGGTCCAGGTTGTAGCGCAACGCCCTGCCGTAGGTCGTGCGCAGTGCATCTGCATGCAGCAAAGGCCCCGGCACAGCACCCAGCTCATCGATCACGTCGACGCCGAGTGTGCCTGTGAGGCGATCCAGCTTTTTCTGCGTCTGTGGCGTCAAGCGCAGCCTGGCTGTCTGCATGGAATCCGACATGAGCAGGCCATTGGAGGAATGCATGGTCCTGCCGCGCGGGCCGAGGTTGTGTGCGGCGTGGTTGGACTGCGCTTTGCCGAGGTACCCCTGCTCGCCGAAGTAAGTGATGGCCATCGGCTCCACCACTTTGGAGAGGGTGCGCGTCTTGCCGACACCGCCTCCACCGAGCCAGATCGCTCTGCGGTTGCCTGTCGCGGACGCCACGGGGAGGAGATGCGTTGTCTTGTCTGGTCTGCCGTCAAAACATTTCTGCAGAGACAACGCAAACAACGCCACCGCGTCAATCTGCTCCTCCGTGCAGTGGGTATCAGTGACGAGCTTCCACGCAACAGCCGCCGGGCCCTGCATGGCCAAGAGCTGCGGAACGAGTTCTGGTTGGGCGTCCTCGGCAGCAGGCTGAGGAGCACCGCTGGGGAGCCAGTCGTCCGCAGCATCGGGCAAGATCTCTCCATCCGGGCTCGCTTGCTTCTATTGGAGCGCAATGCTTTGCCGCTGTAGGGCGAGCATGTCAGAAAAGGTCTCGTCCAGCCGCGTGCCCTGATGTTCCCGCGCGCCGCTGCTGGCTGGCAGTGCAAAGCTGGGCTGCAGCATGCCGCTGTACGCTCGGTCGAGGTTCTTCAACTGCTTATCGGCGTAGCTGAGGCGGCCCTTCTGGTCCAAGCGCTGCAGTTGGTCTTGCTGTAGGGCCAGCTCGGTTGCTCTGACGTGGTCCCGCAGCGGAAACCGGGAGATCTCGGTAATCTCGGCGTCCTCCACGTCCTCCTCTACGTCGCTGCCGCCGCCTCCACCCACGTCAACGAGCTCCAGCGGGACTCGCCCCTTGAGCCCTTCGGCATCGCTCGCGGAGTCTTCATCCGCCTCGAGGTGTGCAGTCGTTGCTGGCCGAGGCTTAACCCGCGCCTCCGCCGCGAGGTCCACGTGCGCCAGCACGTCTCGCGCCACGTGCGCGCAGAACTCCGCCAGGGTGCACTGTTCCTCGTGCCACCGGCAGTGGTGGTCACTGAAGGCGAGGATGCGCCGTGCCGCCTCCGCTGGCATGCGCCGCGCCAGCTGGGACCTTGCGAAGTGCGCTAGGCTGAGGAGCACCAGCTCGCCCTCCTCGAGGTTCGCCCGGGGCTCTTTCAGCTCGGAGAAGAGGGTCGTGTCCGCGAGCACGAGCCTCTTGCGGGCCAGGCGGCTCCTGGAGTCTGCGCGCGCTGCCAACACGTGGATCTCCGCGCACCGAAGCCGCCACGCCCGCTCGAACGAGTATGGGCGCACGGCGGGGCAGTCGCAGTTCCTCAGCATATGGCTGTACTGTGTAACGCAGCCACAAGAGAGGGGACACTCGCACGCCCAAGGCGTGAAGAGGAGGGCCTTGAAGAGCGAGTTCTGCTCGGGGTCCTGTGCCCAGGTCGGGCACTGGAAGCCATCGATGGTGGGGACGTCACTCCGCGTCAACCGGACCTCCTGCATGCACCGCGGAGCCAAGACGTAGTGGCTCTCGAAGGCGAAGAATCGCGGTCCAGAAGCTTTGACCCGGCTCGGCTTCAGGACTCGCCGGACGTACATCCTGTAGACGTAGTACGGCATGGTCTGCAGGCGAGGGCCTCTGTGGGCGTAGTCGTCGGCCGTGTTCGTGCTGGTGGTGCACACGTGCATGTCCTCGCACTCCGCACCGCCACCTTGCTCATCACCAGCAGGAGTGTCTCCAGGAGGCTGAGGAGCACCGCTGGTGTCACCTGCTGCGTCCTCCTCCTCGTTGTCGGCGTCAGGGATCTGGATGCGGACTGCTTGTATTGGCACCTGATCATTATGCGTCTCCTCGCCCGAACCTTCATGGTTTAGCAAGCGTTTGCACTGCTGGCAGGCCCACTGTAGTTGTCTCGTGAAGAGCCGCACATTGTGGTGCGACTGGAGGCAGTCGCCGCCTGTGAGGATATGCACGGCCACCTCCGTCGTGGAGAGCCAGAAGCACCGGTTCGCCATCGACGCCAGGCGGATACAGACCCGCCGAGCGCGGCGAGCGAGATCCTCGCGCGTCCGGCCCCGTTTGGCCAGCGTCTGGTCCTCGCCATCAGCGCCGCCCTCACTGAGCACCTTCCGGGCTTCCTCCTCCTTCTCGTCCCTCTCCTGCTGCTCCAGACGCTGCATGCCGGTGAGCATAGACTGGAAGAGCGGCGTCATGGACTCCATCATCTTGCCCTGGTACTTCGTGATGTAGAAGTCCATGGAGAAAGCCTTCTGGAAAGC